TATATATATATATATATATATATATATATATATATATTCACTTGCCTTTTTGTTGCGCATTATAAAACCTGTCAGTTTGTGTGTTCAGTAAATAATAATAAAACAAAAAAAAAAAACTAAAAAAAAAACAGAAAAAAATATCAAGTACGTAATAAATAGAATGCTTTATATCTTATTTCAAATACTTATTTAGAGTTGTTTAGCCTAGTTCAATGACGATTTTTTTTTTTTTTTTTAAGTGACGTCTAGCTGGAACCAATGTTAGGATTTAATATGTACGAGACCTTGATATATTGATACAAACAACTCTGAATATCTGTCGACACGAAGGTATGAAACTTTCCACTCACAAAATTTGTTTGGGCCCATGTGGATTCGAGAAGGATTTTCATTTAAAATCATGATGCGATCACTATTTTATAACGTCGAATTTATTATTTCTAACAGTAATTGTTCAAGGTCAATTGTTAAACTGCCTTTTTCTAATTATAAATCAAATTCAAATTAAATTTCATCCATTACTTTTGTATTATTAATGCATACATCTACATAGACAAGAACAAAAAATCACTACGAATAGGAGTCTACAATTGTTAATGTCTTTTTCTCGTTGAAAAATAATGGAGTCTGTGTTAAAGAATTTCTTCCAATCGTAATACCTGTTGTTCAAAGAGCTATCTGCTTATCTAATTTAATTAATTTAGTGGAAGTTGTTTAATGAAAAATCCGATATAAATTAATGAAAATCCATGCGCTTTGCATTTAAAATAAATATTTAAATTTCAGTATTTTAAATTAACTTCTTTGTTATGGCCATATCAGCTTCCATTTTCATTGGGCGACGATGCAGTGAAATAAAACTTGAAAAAAGTGTTTAACTCGGAATTTAATAAGCGGAAGCAATACCAATTAAGTGATTTTATGGATAAGTATTTTACATACTTATGACATTATATTATGTGATAAGAGCTAATGTGATCATATATCCCGTACATAATTCACAATTATGAAATTAATTGTAATCGGGAGATGCTTTTTCATGATTTTCATACGATATTTATCGATATTTAGAGTAATAATTTTTCAATGATGTATCTTATGTATCTCCAATACATCATGTGTAGCAGATTATTTATAAAATTAAAGTGACACAGGAACATCATATTAACTAACAACAATTCTTAATTGAGAATAATACAAAAAAAATTTATCCAATTGAGATAATTTTAATTAAATTTGAAAGAAAATGAAAATTGAAAAAATAACCCAACTAACTAAGATATCTTTATAAAGATAAATATACAAGGCACAAGTTTTCTTTAGGATTTCTTCAAAATTATTCAAGAAGGTTATAAAAATATTTTCACTTTTAAATAAATGTACGAGTTATTATGAAACGATGATATTACTACTCAGCGAAAGAATTTAAGTTTGTATTAACATTTCTAAATTGAAAATGTTAAGAAAATTTTAATTTATTTTATAGAAGAAAAATAGAAAGATACAATCATATACATATATATATATATAGATAAAGTTCTTCAATAAAAAATAGACAATAATAATTGTAAAATTAAATCGAATAACATCATTCTAAATTTTCGATAAAATTATTTTGCGTATTAAATAGACGATGGATCGATGTGTTAAACTATCTAATCTATTATCTTTTAAGAATATGTGTTTTAGTTTTTATATTATTGCATTGTTTTATTCTACTATTTTATCTAGAACAATAGATGTTTGCAGAAAATGACGGTATAAAGATTTTCAAGGTATCTTGAAGGGATATTTTATATCGTGAATAGTTAAAATAAAGAAAGAAAAAAAAACGAGAAAAAAAAAACAAAAGAAAAGAAACACACATACAGAGACAATATTAATATTGTATAAATAGATGAATTTTTCATGAAAACTATATACTTTATCACGACTCTTTTTTCTTCTTCTTCTTCTTCTTCTTCTTCTTCTATTTTCCTTCAATATAAATGAAAAATCAATCTGAGAAGCGGAAAAAAGCGCTATTTTTTAACAATGCTTTCGAAATTGCATGTATAATTTTTCATGTGCCGTATAATAAATAAATAATCTCGGATATGATTAGCATCAACATTTACGATTAAACACGATAAGAAAAAGTAGTTTGCCTTTCGAAAATAAAAATCCTATTATTTCTGCTCAGAATGTACATGCACCTGCGCGGATAGTCACGATCGCTCGAATATATCGACGAGTATAGTGCGCCCATTGTCTCGATTAAAATCTTATAAAATTAGAATAAGCGACAAGTATAGGCTAAATGGCGTATAAGTGTGTAAGCTCGAAGAGGCGCACGCGTGGGTGCGCGTATAGGTAGGTGAGAAAAGTATTAAAGACAATATACTACAGACGCTTTAATATACTGTTTATAGCGACGGGCGCGGAGTGGCGCGGGGCACTCTGTATGTGTGTGCGTGCGTGTGTGTGTGTGCGTGTGTGTGTATGTGTGTGTATGTGTGTGAAGTCGGTAATAGGACTGATAATAATGAAGTGGGGCTTACGCACAATGAAAAGAGCAAGTGTTCCACAGTGTGTTTTGCCACCGTTGGCCGCGCGGTCGATTTTTGCTCTCGTCGACGTGCTCGCTCTCGACAAGGAGGCACTTGCTCGCCGCGGATTATTAACCAAGTTGAAGATTAACCGGTAAGGAGGAAAAATGTCGAAAAGCCCCGACGCAAGCTTCATAGCCTACAAAATCCTCGGGCTGGAGCACGTTAAGGAAGCGACGCACCTCCAGATCGGCTCGTCCTTCGAGGAGTGCCTGACGATTGGTTTCGGCATAGCCCGCATACCCGGGGGCACCGATCACGAGGGCTTTCGACTCCTCTTGGAGAGCATAATCGCCGACGGCATGACCATCGGAGCTTTTGATAGCAAGTCCGGCGAGCTTGTCGGTGTCTGCTTCAACAAGTTGCACGTGAGTCGTGTCGTCTATTTTTACATTTGTAAACAACGCCGGATGCGCTGTGTAGATGACGTAGATGACTGGTTGCGGCGCTTAGCCAAAATGCACCTACTAAGCTTCTTGATTATTTTAGTGATTTGTCCGAGCTAATGTAGTGTTGGCGGTGGTGACGTGTTGGATAGACTGACCGTTCACCATCGCCGCGAGCCCTATAAAAATTCCCCGTGAGAATGCTGAATGATTTACGAGCCAAGCAAGTGACGAGGGATTTCAAACGTTCGCTTTTCGGCCGAATGGAACTTTTTTTTTTTTTTTTTTTTTTTTTTTTTTTTTTTGCACCACCTCCGTTTGCCGAGCGCGCTTTTATCTTGAATTTCGACAATGCCACCGCAGTTTATACGAACCCCTGATATCCGATATGCCTAAACCATTGTTATCGCATTCGCTTGAATTATTATGCTATTGGACTATTAGGAGACGAGATTTTTACGTCAAAGCTTTAATATCCATGGATTTGGGAAGCGAGTATTTTTTCTTCATCTATTTCCTTCTTCTTTTACTTCCGTCCACCCCCTCCCATTCTTCTATTCATCTAAACAGTAGCTATTATTATTACCTTATATATACAAGAATTTTTTGTGACATAGACAGTTAGCATATTTTTCATTAACGCCTATATTAATTAACCGGCCATTTATGAAATCCTCTTTTTGAATAATTTAATTATGCAGATTCTCATCATCATTGTATACTGTAAGCATGCTAAAAGAAACGATTAATTAAAAATCTCTTTCATTTTTAATGAAATTATTTAGTACGAGATTAATATTTTTAATTATTAAAAATATGATTTTCATCGAAATTAATGCGCTTAAGATATTAAATATAAAAGTTTTATTTCACAAGTTTACGAGCAACTATTTCAATACACAGTATTTGTTTTGTCTTTATTCTGCGCAGAATATCAAAACTAAGATAAAATGTTGAAATTTGTCGTAATAAAGTGTACAATAATCGTTAGAATTTAAATAATTTACAAAATGTACACATTAGTGATTGTTATTATGATTGTTGTTGTTATTAATATTATTGGCTGCCAAAGATATTTATATATATATATATATATATATATATATATATATATATATATCAAACATTAGATAATAATTTTTGAAATAGGTCATTTGGTAAATAAAATTTTTTTTTTTTATGTGATTTATCTTAATTGAAGGAAAATGCATATCGGACAATTTCAAACAAATATGTTCAGAAAATCACACAGGGACAATTGTATTTACAAGATCATTGTATAATACGATGAAATTTTAAAATCGAATTATTATCGCAATAAGGTTATAGTATTAAACAGATATGAAAATTCCTTACCAACGTATTACTATATGCATTTGCATTAATAATTCAAAAATTGTTTCTAATTTACAATAGATGAAATTTGTCAAATTACTTTGATTTGCAAATTATAATGAATAAAACATAGTAACATGCGATACATATAGAAATTCTTCATTGAATATAATTCAATAAAGTCTTTGTTAAATAATGGTAATGTTCATGATTATAACGATCATATAACTACGCGGAAGTAATTGAAACCTTTTGGCAACCTTTTCCGCAACATATTTTAAATGTATTGCACGAAGCATTTTGATAGCCAAGCAACACACTTACAGACACACATTTCATTCATAATAAATACACTTAAATACAGAAACAATCAAATACTATTTTTATATTTCTATTTAATATATAATTAACTGCAGTTGAGAATAAAATTAGCTAGCATCGTACGTACAAAAATCTATTTAAAATCTATTATTAACTACTTAAAAAAAAAAAAGAAAAAAAGAAAGAAAGATATTTAAGACGAGATATCTATGATATATATAATCATAAATTTTAAATTATTAAACGTCACAAGATAAATTGCATTAAATACTTTGAACTAATATAGAGAATATATTAAAAATATGTTATCATTCATTTAATTATGAATTGCGAAGAAATAAATTATATTTAATTCTTTTAGATAAAGTCGGAACGAGATAACCCTGCGCCATTAGAAGAGAATGTTGAAGAGAATATGAAACATCCAGCAACACTTGATCTTATGAGGTTCGTCTTCAAGGTAAATTTTCAAGGTATTTACTATAGAATACACAAAAAGACAGCGTTCAAGGTAATCAAATAATTCTTAGATCTATTTTATATAGTCGATCAATACTATCTATGTATCTATGTAGCTATACAATAGTAAATATAGAGTTACGTTCCTCTTTATATAAAATAGTTTCTCATAGTATTGGTTTGCTGAATGAAATTTTTACATTTATATTATATATATAGATAATTATATTTAACTTTTTAATGTTGACACTTTTCCTTTAAAAAGAAAGGGTATTAATTTACAAGAATCAACTTATTAAAATAAATGTTGATAAAGTGGTCTTATTTCATGATGTTTTCTATATTAATTATTTATTAATTTATATTTATTAGAAGTAATAGAGTATGAATATTTAAATATGAAGCAATGTAGAATAAAATATTAATATTATAACAATATAAAGTAAGTAAATATATGTGAGATAAGAGTTTTTTTAAATAGTCAAAACGATGATATTTTTAATAATAGATATAGTTTCTCCGAGACAATGATTGTTGAATATTTTAATATTTTCATAAACAATATATATATATTTGCTTCATTTTTTTTTTTTTTTTTTGTTTTTTATTTCATTACGGATATTGTGTAATTTATTTATAGTTATAATATTATAATTCATATAATGTATAAAGTGTATAAGTAAAATTTTCCCTTATATTATTAATTTTAAGTGTGAAATTAATGTTTGAGATTAAAATTGGTTGACGTAAAATCTTGAATATTTATCAATGTACATATTTTCATTTACTTTGTTGTTATTTTTTTTTAATTTTCTGCATAATGTGAATTACCTTTTATTTCATACTTTAATAGCACTGATGTAATAATAAACGAGTTCATTGTTATATATCATATGCATATTATTATACAACAATAAGTTTATATTTCTAACTTCATTAGATATTATTTCTATATAATTCCAGTTGATAAATCGTAGCAATTTGTATTTGAAGAGCTTTTAAATTTCACTACACAAATGTCTCTTATTATATCTTTCCATATTAAAAATATTTTATATATACCTATAATTATAAATTCAAATGATCAGAAAAATATTATTCTCCCAATAATCATCCATTATAACCATGTAAAGTCCTTTTATCTTCAAGATTATAGAGTAGAAAGACAAATTGATAGTCAGATAATATCTTAAACTGATCCTGTATCGCATAAATACTTAATGCGCTTCAGTATAATATATATATATATATATATTCATAAATCAAACCCACAATGCAATTCTATAATGTAATCTCATTATATATGAAAACTTTAACTAATGATATTTTCATATTTAATAGTTGATAAATATATATACGGTATGAATCTTTACCAACTAATTATGAATAATAATATCATGACAAACGACCTTTTATGCTGACTTAATAATAAATGGCAGCAACTAATTACTACATTGATTTTTCAACAATTATTAATTAATATTTTTGTTATTTATTAAATTGATATATAATTCTCGTGCTTTATTATATAAAATAATTGTGCTCGTTTATAATACAGAATGTGAGGTATAATTATAATATTTAGCGATAAATTTCAATATAAACTTTCATTAGTAAACTTCATAAAATAATTAAAATAATATAGAATTACTTTTAAGATACTATACATTACTATAAATTATAATTTATTATTTCTACTTAATATATATTCAAATTATTTATCATTATACCGAAAAACACAAATACTTATTTTTATTTTTAATCGTTACATTTCACATTGAATATTGATTATTAATATAATGTTTATTATGTATTTATTGTTATACTTTCATTGATTTTTATTATGAGAGATATTTTACTAGCCGCGTATTAAAATTCTCCATTATATGTATTAGAGAATTTTTGCATTCATATTTAATTTATAATTAGATTATATACATTAATTATTGGAAAAATTAGTTGCTTTAAAGCATTATTAGATATATCTAAGTACAGCTTCCTTATCACACAATAAATGCGCAAGATATAATGATCCTTGATTAGTAAATAAAAGTAGGACAAGAGGTCAATATCAGTCATTTGAATTTATCTATATGATTTTTTATCTTACTTCATAAAGTCTGATTCACGAAGACTGATTATCTATTCATTTAGCTTATATATTGGGTTATAGTTTGTATATGTAAGTAAGCAGCAGAATTAGTGATAATGCAGCCATCGTATAATCTGCAAATTTACGCGTTCGAAGCAAAAAAATATCATGTAATATAAGTGATTGGCGACCGGCTCAATATTTGCATCCTTGACACTTTTTACATCCAGAATTTTTCGATTGCTTATCAATACGATTTACTACCGAATTTACTAACTAACCGTTAATTTATTCAATAATAAAGATCTTCTTGCGGTTAACGTAGCTTGGCACAAATTGACTTTCTTAAGAATTAGTTGAGATTGTATCTTAAATTTTTAAATATACTTACTTTAATCGAATTAAAGTTTGTAAGTTTTAAAATTCATTAAAGGAGAGCTATTCGTGGTAACCGAAAATTTCGTACTTTAAGTGATTCAATGTATAATGAAAATGTATCTAATTAGGACAATTAACATTACATTTTTCTCATTAAACGTCTTTGCACAAAATTTATTTAATTTTTAATTTTTAATATCGATTATTCATACTTATTCAAAATAATCTTATATATATATATATATATATGATATGAAAAAAAAAAAAAAAAAAAAAAAAAAAAAAAAAAAAAATAAATATATACAAAATTCAATCGATCGATTAACATTCAACATTGGAAAGTATAAGTTTAAATATATTTCAGTATTAAGTTAGATTTAAAAAATAAATATTAAAATAATCGATTCATTTGCCAAACAATTGAATTTAATAATAGCAGCTAAGTAATTATTAATTAAAAATTTCATTATTCGTATTGTATATTAAAATACCTAATTATACGCTTGAGATGAAAATGAATTGCATCAAATCAGTTTGTATTAATTTCAGAATATTTAATATAAGAAATAGAAACTTATATGAGTTTTTGTTATTTTTAAATTATTAAAATAAAATAAAATAAAAAAGAAAAAAAAAAAAAAGAAAAAAAAAAGAAAAAAGACAACAATATACATTAATTTAGTAATTATTAAATGCAATGAAAGAAAGACAATTTCATGCAGGTGCATATAATTGCATATAATACCAATAGTCTATGTAGCTACATACACGTCATTCAAAAAATCTTGGACTATATGTATCTATAATTACAATAGAAGAAAGGAACTCGTGGCAGCGTGAGATCATGAAATCAAACCTTAGAAAGGTTTACGCGTACATAGCAAATCATACTGATACCATACATTACATGCATATTAACGCGACTGTGTCGAAGTGTACATACACAACGTTCTACGGACGACAATGATTTCGTGACTAGTTACCGATACAATCGGTATTTATAGTAATATCGATGAATTTCTCACATTTTTACATTTCACTTATCATAATATCGAGCATAGATTGAGTGGACGAAAACATTCGGTACTTTCATAACTATCATTTTTCTTTTTCTTGTTTTCTCTGTTTTTTTTTTTTTTTTTTTTTTTTTTTTTTAAAAAAATGGTTTTGCTAAAAGAACATTTATTCATGATATGGTGTGTATTTTTCGATCAAATATGGATTTTAATCTTTAAAAGGATCATTATTAAAAGCAGTAAGGATATTATCATTCATTAATTTATTATAATTAAAAAAAAAGTTAATGTACATTATGTATTATTAATTTTTAAGTTAATCGAAGGTTCATTTTTAGCTCATTCAATTGGATGTATTGTTTAAATAATATTGAATGTTACTGTTTCATTATTGTTAATTATAACAATCACATTTATAAAGAAAAAATTCAATTAGCGTAAATTTAAATTTGAATTTCATTCAAAATATTATAAATTTTCTTCGCTTTTTTTCTTGTTTTTTTTTTTGTTTTTTTGTTTTTTACGATGACGTATTTAAAACAAGGAAAATAATTTTGACGATTTCAACATTATAAATTGAGTTTCCAATACATTATTTGTATAAAATATGCATGAAATAAATACTATCGTGCCATGAAATAAGACCATTATTGAGAAACAAAATTTCAAAAATGAAAATGAAACGACTAAAAATTGATGTCACATAGATTGAAGTCAAAGTCGTATATTTTGCAAAGTATGTACAGTTGATATAATGTAAAATATATATTATAGAATATATTATTACAAAACAGATTAATAATTTACTGTTAAAAGAAATTACTGTTAAATATTATTAATTATAGGTAATAGTAGATAGCTATATTATTTTATAGAATTCTTGAAGAAAAAATTTAGTAGACAAATGTTAAAATATTTTCATCGAACATGAAATTATAAAATACTACTTCGGTAAAGAATTTATTTAAGAAATTATTTGTATACAATATGCATATTAGAATACAACAAATAATAAAAATTTGTTTTAATATTTAATAAATAAATAATTTCATTTATATCCATTGATAAAGAGCCTCAATTTCGAAGAATAAAATTAATGATTAACTAACGTTTTAATATATTGTCAACTGAAGCTGTAAAAAATTCTGAGGATAAAAATAATTTGATAAGGGACTGTAATATCTTTACAATAATTTTGTCGCTGGAAAAACTTTTGAGAAAAAAACTGTAATTAAAAAATTCATTATGCATAACGCGAGGGTAAGTGCACTTTTATTCGGTGCGATTATGTAATATCATACGTCGTAGCCCACAGTGGGTTTGCTTAATAGCTTACTTATAACATTTTAATCCCATAAAATTGATACTCTTAATATATAATAAAAAAAAAATCCACTTCTCTGCTATTCTGGGTAAAAAAGACAAAAAAAAAAAAAAGAAAAAAAAAAAAAAGAAAAAAAAGAAAAAAAATAAATAAAAAAAAAAATAACAAAATCAAAAACACAGATCGAGGCGAGCGTGAACCTATACGATTTGTACAATGTGTCGAATGCCCTGGAAATTTTCTACATCGGCGTCGACGCTCGCTATCGTCGCTATGGCATAGCGCGCAGCCTGATGGGTATGAGCATCGATATGGCACCTAAAATCGCCCTCGAGAGGCGTCTACCGCAGCCGGAAATCGCATTTGCCGTTTTCACCTCCAACTACAGCCAAGCGCTCGCCGAGCAGTTCAACTTCGAGTGGCTGCACGCGGTGCGCTACGACGAGTACGAGTGCAGCGACGGGAAGCTCCTCTCCGAGAGGATCGGTAGCGTACATCAGAGCTCGAAGCTCGGGGCACGCAGACTCTAAATTCAAGCTCTATAACACTTTCCAGCTCGATCGCGTGCGCTGGCATTTACATGCTCAATAACTTGAAAATGTGCTCGGCGAGATTACCACGCCAATTATTAATTTAATCCTCCTATGTTGTTGCATTGAGTTTACGTTGACATCCTGGCTTCGAGGCTCCCTGACATTTCCAAAATTTGCACTTACTATGAGAGGAGCCTCTGTTGAATAGATCTAGCTCATGTACAGCTGATGCGCCTTAAATATGAATTGACTGGAATTTTAAAGTTTTCATTACAATTGGTTTTTTTTTTTTTTTGAAAATTCAATCGAACAATATAGGATCTTGAGGTAAGAAAGTATATCCAAATCGTTTATTATTTCAAAATCTTCGCCACTTTATTTACTACTTAGAATTTGATGATTCGTATGATTTACTGTCTAATATATAATTATAATAATAGATCGTTTAATAGTTAAAAACTTTTAGTAAATCTACTTTCTTCGGCTGTACAAAAGGAAAATGAGATCGTGTTAAAATGCAATAAAGCAGAAACGGAATAATACAATGAACCTACAATATAATATTATACATTCGTCTTGGCATATTGGAATCTTTCCACTTAATACTTGCACGCACGTACGCACTCACCCACGCGCACACACATTCATTATTTACGAATTTATTATATTTTTTTAATGCACACTCTTTTGTCCAATATCATATTTTAATTATTAACATTAATGTCAATTAAATTCTTAAATTAAGTTTTTAAGATTAAATTTTCTTAAAGTTAAAAATTCATTCTTTTTGGAAATACGGTTCAAAAAAAAGTTAGATAATAATCTGTGGACGCAAAATGTAGATAAGATGTATGAAACTTTGTATTTTTATTTTAATTCCTTCAAATTGAAATCGGTTAAATGTTTATAATTTATATGTTTGTCTCTATTATTTAGCATAATTAGTCCTAATTATATCATGTAAAAGAAAAAATTTGCGTAATATATCTATTGTATTTGTTTGAAGTAAATTACTGTTTGACATCTGTAATCTTTTATGTATAACCAAATATTTGAATTTCAATAAATATGATGAAATTATTTTCTCGGAATGGGAATGAATTTAAATCAATATAGCTGATTACAAACATTACATCCTATATTACAGATAACTTTATTTAAGTCGATGTATCCTTAGGTATATTATAATTAGAATAATTAAAAAAATGAGTAAAATATGTAGAGATAAATAAATTTACTAATTTAAATCTAAAAAGACAAATTTACTGAATTAAAATTATTTATAATTGGCTCTATTGTTGAAGCGACAATATATAATTATTAAACTTTCATTATTTAAATATTTTTTTACTTTAATATTTACATATATTGGTGATTATGCAAATGTACAGAAGAATTCAAATTTAAATGATTCCAAAAATTATTGTCCGTAGATTTTAAACTTTATTTATAAAATATATAGTCCATAAGTAAAGATTTATGCTAATTATTAATAATAATACGGAAAAATTAACATATCTTAAATTGAAAGATTAAACAACAAAAAATTTCGTATTTAATGTGTAATTAAATATTATAAATAGTGCAAATATTGATTAAGATTAATTACTGTAAAATTGAGAAAATTATGTAGTTAAAAAAAAATTTTAATCTCAGTTTAATTATCACTAATTTATTGACGAAATACCTAAAAATTAAAAAATAAAAATACGTATATATATATATATATATATATGTGTATGTGTGTGTGTGTGTGTATTTTTTTATTAAAATCGCTAATACTATTTTACATTAATAAAGAAGAAAGAGAACAAAAAACAATTTATTTGAATTTCTGAATATTTATAAAACTCTAAAATATTTCATTTAACTAATCTTTAATCGTCTTACATTATACGTACGTACAACATTTATTACAAAATTTAAACAATATTTAGTATATATATATATATATATATATATATATATATATATATATAACATTAAAAATAAATAGCTTAAGTATAAAATAATAATTCATAAAACAAAAATGATAAAAAAATATTTTAGAGAGAAATAGTATGAATATATTAATTTTAGCATAATAATTTCTAACAAATTATTATATACCATCTTGAGTATTAATTCATAATTTTTATGTAAAACCAATTATTAGTGGTCGTAGACTTGAATTAATTCAATCTACTAAGAATAATGTAAGGTGAAAAAAATGAGACAAACCCATTTATTATCATATTGTGCGTTACTCATCTTTTCCCAATAATATAAATGCAATAATAATGGCTTTGGAATATCGATTATTATAAGATAATGACAATGAATCATTGACTTATTATTACGTTAATTACACTTGCTTATGAATGAAAAAAAAAAAAAAGTGTCATGTATCTCTAAACCTATATACAAAGTAGTCTTATTCTTTTACAATAGAAATGAAGGACAAACGTATATGTACGTCATTCATAATATGGTTATTTTAGATAATATATGTTTTATATAAATGATTGTTCTGTTTTTTTATTTCTTGTGTCATTTTGCTAAGAAGATGATATATTAAATGAAATATTTCGAAATATATTGAAAAAAAAGCTCAATAAATTATATTCATATAATTGCCTGAAGAAAAATTGTTAATTCAAATCATTGTAATAGGAAAATTTGTGTAACAATATCCAACGAATTTCAACATAAGTAATTTTAATGTATAACGATTTCGTAAAGAGCACTCAATGTATATTATCAAGAATGTTATTTTCTAAAAGAATTTATATAATTTTTGCCAATTATATGCAGTTTTAAGCAATCATTATTATTTTGCCTCGATATGGACTTTTGTATTATTGATGAAAAATGCATTAAAAGAAATACATTTGGTTAATACGAAGTTTAATAAAATTTTAAATGCTTTATATGCCAGAATAGTTATGAATATTTGGTATTCCCTTTGATATTTAAAATTTTCAATAAATTATTTTACTTAATAAAGAAATATCTTTTAGTTATTTAAAATTATTTTTAAAAAGGAAAATATTTTTCATGAATATCGGAAAAATATTAAATTTCAATATTTTATTTTTTAAAATATATAATTAATATAAATTTCATCTTTCTTTTTAATAAAAATTATGCGAACTAATACCTTTAGTTTTATGATTTCCGAGTACAAGTCGAGAAATAAAATAGAAATTTGACATATAAATATATTATGAGACATAAGAATTTTGATATTACAAATTATATGTTTAGAAAGTATTAAAAACTATTCATCTTTAAATTAAAGATTTTTCTTAAAATTTTTAAGGAAACGCGAAAAAAACATTTTCTGAGTTTCAAAAGGAAAATAAATCAAATTCAATTGTATTTTAAAATATTACTAATTCTGCTTCAGAATTATACATATACGTATTACATATATTTTTGCCTTAATTTAAGATACGCTGTTAATAATATATGAAAATTTTCAATTTAATAATTGGATATCCTATTTAATTTGTCATTTTACGATAATAATGAATGTTCATAATGTATAAATTCAAGGACTTACTTAATTCAATTCGTTATTTAATTTTTAATCCTTAAAAACTATAATTAATAACGCGTGACCAAACACGCTCAATCTTGCATCTCCTTCTTTTCATATAATTACATAAGGATATTACCTAATCATTAAAAATCAAATATATATTATGTTCACACAATTTTTCTTCAGTAATTCACAAAACTTTTTGTCTGAATTATTATAATTTAATTGCGTATTTGAATAATCTTCAAATAATATGTAAAAATATTTATATTTTTATCTAATCGATATGCCTAAATATTATTAATGCAATTTTCTCTTTCTGTGCATTTATTAACACACACACACATATATATATATATATATATATATATATATATGTTTAATATATATGTTTAATTATTTACAATTGTAATTCCAATCTTAATACTAAATTTATAATTTATCCTAATTAGTTAATGATTTAAAATGTAAAATTTAAGAAAAACAACGTTTTTTTTTTCGAATTAAACATATAAAATTTCATATCTCAGTAATAACTCTATTTTAACATACCATTCTCCGATAAATGTGAAATTAGCAAATCCGTCTCACATGAATATATACAATTAATGGATAAAAGAAGTATTGCAACATGTAGAGAGCAACAATTTCCATGAAATGAATAGCGACGTATTAATGACAAAGGACCGGTAGAATGAACGCTGAAAATGAGTTGATATAAGTGACTTTAGTTATCATTCATTTGAGCAACTGTCAAGAGCTAAATGAATGCACTAAGATCGAAGAGGTACTATAATGCTTTTATTAATTATATTTGGCTGAAAGAAGTACCTTCTTCTGGAATGGGAACAAAGTAAAAAAAGCTTTACTCTAATCTCCCAGCTCCTTTAACTATATTTTATCTTGTTTTTATTCCTATCGATTTTGCTCGATTTCCGAGCTTTTACGAATGTTTAATAAGCCCTTCACCTATTAATTATTTTACTTATACAATTAAATTGTATGTCGAACAAGCCGAGCGATCAAGATCATTTTATTCTCAAATAGATAATTAAAATAGGTAATTATTGATAAGAATTTTATTCTTGTGCGTTGTACTTATTTTATTACCTTAAAGCTGGAGATAAATGTAATTTTTCATTCAGCCTATAATTTCATGATTTTCTTTCAGAAGTAATTTCAAAGAGATAGAGAAGTATGGACATTATATTATCAAAGACATTTGTAAAGTTATGTTTATATACGAGGATAAATTGAGTATGAAATATAAATAAAGAAACTTGAAAAACAATAATTATATTAATAAGAAGATGAATAATAATAACATCGATTCTCTTTTGTTTCTATTTAAAGTCTACATATTTCATGTAAATCTTGTTTTTCTATGTATGGCATAATAAAAGCCACTATTGATCCTGTAAATATAGGTTATTTCATAGAAAGGCAATAGCTAGTTAAATATTCATTAATTATGTAAATGTATAATTAAAATATTCAATCAAATAAATTATGGATTTTTTGTTTTTTCTTTTACCTTTATTGTCCTCGGCGAATAATGTTCCCATTTGTGTTTTCACCCTTATTCCATTAATTTTTTTTTATCCATAATCCTATAATCTACTATAACAATTTTTTTCAGCAAAAACTTCGACAGATAGATACTTTCTTTGTATTTATATGAAAAGATTTTTTTGTGCAATATTTTATCAATAACAAGCACTATAAACATCTTGAATACTCATTGGATCACAGTTGCATTATCCTCGTGCGGGCTTACCCACACGCAAGAGCACGCGCGAGCGCGCACACACACGCGCGGGCTAATTTACAATCGCAAATTCATACACAGGGAATAACAATAGATCGATTCAATAGTGCATTGCATCAGCAATAATTCTTTGTAACCTGTTTATATAACATAATACGACAACAGCAAAACTATAATGATACGTCATTTCTTGCCTACTTTTAGGGTAGAAGAAAAGGAAAATGAGGGGCAAAGTATACGAATGACAAAAACATACTAACACGTATGCATAATATGAATATATATGATAAATATCGAAATGAATATGAAGAATTTTTAATTTGAACAGTTAACTACTAATGACTTTTTACACATATTTTTGTGTACTAACGGATTAGTCGATCCTTCTTTCCAATTTAAATTCTTTCTAGTTGAAATTTTTTATCATTTATGGACAATTGAATGTTTCTATATTAAGACCCTAAATTTTCATTTATATTTCCTACTTTGTAATAAATAATCAACCTGTTTGAAACTTCTGTTTATCAATAGGAAAAGAAAATTTTATTTTTAGAATGTCCTACAATCAATATTTCTAGTTGTTTACATACCTGTTGAAATACTAAAATGTATAATTGTAAATAGAAACATGTGTTCAAATTTCCTTTTTAATGTGTTTCCATTATCTGCTATGCTTGCCTTTTATCAATAATAGTAATCATTATTATATTTATTATTATTATGTTTTCTTGTAATAAAAACAAGAATCATTGCTACAAAGCTCAAATTATTGAGCGTAATCATTCAGTGTATCGTACTATTTTCAAATTTAATTTAATATTTTTATCTTTTTCTCTTTGTTACGTATGATCCTTTACTATTAGTTTTGCATAATAAATCCTTACATATTGCTTTTCAGCATCTATTCTATGAGAATATCTAGTATAAGTTTATCTGCACGATTTAGTTAAGTCGATAGAAAATAATATTAAGTATTGTATGAGAGTCCCAGCGAATCGTATAAATACATAATTTTCTATAATTATTAATTACTTCAACGTAATTTTCTGCAACTAATTTTTTATTTACGTTGTTTTTAAATAGGTATAACTTCTTCTTTTTATTTACTAAGTATTCATGTTAGCATTAAGACGGAATTATTAAAGAACTATTGTCCGATAAATATTAATTTTGAATTCATTTTAATATTAATTTAATATAATTTTAATATATCTTATTCTAACGTATCTTATTTTAATTTGTTTTTATTTTTTTTGTCGCAAAGCTGTCCATTTAATATCATTATCGAATTTGCAAGTAAATTCATTAAAACATATATATTCATCGGAAGTGAATCTAAATAAGACTAATTTAGATATTATTTCTTACACTAAATGAAAAAATAAATCATTTAATTGATTTAATAAAAATTAAAGTTTTTCTAATATTGATTAAATTTATTACTTAAAATTATTTATTAAAACGTGCTTTTACTATTTTAAGTTCTTAGAAGATTATATCTTTTTATTTTCTTTTATAGTTAATTATTTTAATAGGACTTACGTATACCGACACCATTCAATGTAATTAAATTAATCATTCTAGTATTAAATAATTATTCAAATATTTGTGTGTGATTTATTATTATTTTGTTAAATGAAAATACGTACGGACAATGTTAGAACATGCTATATGAATATTATTAAAGTAATAATCTTATAAGGCATTAAATTTTATCCCAACATATATAAAACTTGGCAAATTAATAATTTATTTCGTCGTTTCGTGGCAGTCGTTTCTTGAATCTGTCTTATAAAGTTTTCCTTTCTTGATAAACAAACAAAATACTATAAAATTTAGAGCAATTACAATGAATGACAATCATTTATATATTGTAATTTAATCATTTTTTTTTTTTTTTTACTTCTATTGCCAACCAAACGAATGAACCTATGCATTATTCAATTACGCAAATAGTCTTTTAAAATAATTCTAAAGCAATTAAATTGTGATTATCTTAATATGAATTTTACAAATTTATTTGTAAATACATTTCACTTTTTAATAAATATTGATGCATATAAAATTGTTTTACGCGCTTGTAATATTTAGTTTTTATAATATTATATTTGGCAGTGCTACATTATATATAATTTAATATATTCGTAGTCAAAATATTCTTTTAAATTATAGGAATAATAAATATTTATGAAATTTAATAAATATTTTTTTATTTACTGGAGCTGAAATGTCTATATTATAAATACTCTTTAATATTTATAATTTCGTTTTAATTTAAAAAAAAATCTTATTACAGATATGTCTATAATTTTACTATTTACTTTACAGGAAATATATAATATTTATATTCCATTGGATAAATTACTTGTAAAATAATGTAAAACCAGGTGTTTAAAATATTGTTTTAATGGTTTATAATTCAATATCAACATAAATTTTTATCATTTTATGATTATGAGAAAATAGAACTTGTGGAATAAATATTGATAATAATGAATTTAATGCATTAACGTAAAAAATATAGATTTTCTTATAATCAATTTATACCGTTACACACAACCATTACTAATAAGGGAAAAATATAAAAAGATTTGTATATAACTTCATAAAAGCAATTAATTTGACCTATTTCCCAAAAATATACAACATAATACAATTTGCCATTAGATTATTTGAAAATACTCTGTATCGATTACTGAATAACTATTTCATAAAGTGCAAAATTTATCTTTATTTATTCCAATTTGAATTTTAATAATACTTTTCTAGAATATTTTTTTTTCATTTTTTTTTTTTTTTTTTGTTTATCTCCTTTTGCATACATAATTGACTATGTCTTTTTATTAAATACTTTATCATTTATTTAGAACATATTTGATATTATATTATGTCTGTCAAATGGTACTTTTATTCAATTTTTTTTTTATGTAATAATTTTATGTAATTTATATAGATTTGTGATTTACTATTACAAGAGATATAAGTGAAATGACAATTTAAGTTAATACTTTATATGCCACGGTAATTATTTTGAAAAATTGTGCTGAACGTAATACACAAATTAACGTACACGTATAAACGAATAGAAATGTTAAATTCATAAAAGTAAATAAAGAATTACAGAATATTTAAAATAAACACTATATGAAAACATATATTTTCATTTCGCGTGGAGATTATTTGCGAAATAAACGCAATATAGAGTCAAGTATAGAGTGTAAAAACATTAATCAAATTAAAACTTTAAAGTTTGTAACAAATTAATTTTGATAAAAGTTTTTTAATATTAAATATTTACCATAGAATATAATGAAAGGGTGAATCAAATTAATTCAAACCACTTAGAGTTGAAATTTGTATACATCTTAAATGATTTACATAAATCTGCTAAATTTTATTATTATATTAAAATAATCATATAACTGTGCGAATGCACATGAATAATTTTGTTTTATTCTATATTAGCGCCTCTATTTAATTAATATAAATAATTATTTGAAATAAAATTAAAAGATCCTGTAAAAAAGAATTTGTATATGTTTTGAGTAATAATAGTCTGGGATTTTTTATTGCCTTTTTTAACGTTTAAATCATTTTTTTGTTAGCTCATTAAATTTATATTTGATAAGAATATGTAATTTTTATAAACAAACTAATGCTAAGGTAAAGTTTGAAGATATTTTTGAGGCAAATATTTTATAAGCTATTTCTATAAGATCTACATAAACATAATAGCAAGCACTCTGTGCTTTAACTCTTAAAAGCTTCTCATTATTCTAGTTGGACTGGATTTTAGATACTAAAAGAAAAAAGTGCTATTCACTTTATCTCCATCCACCCACTCACTTATATACTTACCTATCTATTTAAATATTTATTTACCCATTACATTGTCATTATTGTATCAGCCAACATAGTCGTTGCAAATGATTTTCATTTTCTAATCATTCATATAAGATTAAAAAAAAAAGATATTTTATTTGGAATTATTGTATATTGCATCTGATAAAAGTAACAAAACAAAAAAATAAATTAAAAAATTACTGGCAAAAAATAAATAAATAAAGACATTGTAACTCGCAAAACTTTTAATCGATAATAGAAATTTACATCTCTAGTTTTACTAAGATAAGTTATACGTTTTAAAATTAAAATATTGAAGCGCCATGATTCATTTCTTCTCAAACGATCAACCGCATTAAATATTCTGCAAAGCGTAGTGAGTGTAAGTGACTTACAAATAAACAATTCCCAACAATAATTGATATCGTCAAAAAATAACCGATCCAATATAATTTTAATGAAAATTTTAACGAATAATAAGCAGAAATACCGGGCATCAAGGACCTCGGCACGTATTATTACGTACCTGTGGGTGTGCATGGTGTCCTCGCTACTTCAACGAGGTCCTCACGGCTGCCAGGTGGTGCTTCTAGCATAGCTGCGCTGCTCGTCGATGTTTTCACGCACAGCAGGCCGAGAGCTGCAATGTACATAGAGGCTTTGTTCACTTATTTTAATCGTACTCGTTTATCGCCGCCTATGCATTTAATCTTAACTCTTTTCATATCACCGAAAAGCCCGGATACTCTAGCCCATCACCATCACATGATTACGGCCGAAAAATATATATTCGGCTTTTAAGTTTTGTAATTACTTTTTCTAATTTGTTGTAATTTGCAGTTGCCGCTAGCAATAAAACGAGTGTAAAATTATACTATTAAATAGTTCATATATGGCAATTCATGGCAATGCTAATTGGTTACGAAGCTCCTAGTAAAGTCTCAGAGCACCAATCCTCCTTAGTTAATCATGATACGTGCGCCTTATAATTCTTACTTTTATTGCATAATACCTTAATAAAGTGTCCTTAAATTTATAATATTACATGTCACTTTATCAATGAATAATCTATTTTTTCCCCTTCATGTTTCATAAGTGTAATTTTAATGTTTCATTGTTCTTTGGATATTTCATTTGTAAAATACCTTACATTATCCTTTTCTAAAACGTTCGATTCCTGACAAAACGATGAATTTTATTTTCCATTTCTATATTACACTTTCATGATATAATATAATTTTATAATTTAATAAATAAAATAAAATAAAATAATTTTAAAATAACTTTATGTTTGCATCGTAAATAAAATATTCGTATTCTAACTATATTTAACTTATTGTTCAATTGCACGTATATGTAGAGCTTTTCTTTAGCTGCACATTACTCGAATAGTGTAACGTCGGAAAATATACATAAATTGATAGATAAATATAGAGTGAATCTCGATAATTCAAGTAAATGCATGTAATGTGTAAAATAAAATTATTTATTAGACTATTTGTGCATCCAGAGTGACGTGAGATCTAACAAGAGATACGCAAAAGCTATTGATATGGCATTACTAAAGAGCTAATTATCTTATGTTAAGATAGCTAATTACATTAATGTGCAATTAATCTAAACATTCATCAACATCCCACTTATCCGGAATTGGTAAAAATGCACATATAGAAGAAAAAAGATTGGCGAGATAAGCGATAGAAACCAGTCGCGAGTACTATCGCAATCAACTAATGATCACGCCTATGTGATTATAATATAGCCTTGATAAATTCAATGGACTGTTCAAGAGATTTATTCACTTATTGTCATCAACAATGTATGCTGATAGAGAATCGATGAAATTAATTGAAAAAATACGCTGGAAAAATATAATCTCAAGTATGAACGATAAATTTTAGTATTTTATCTCTGAACGTAATCTCGAACGCTCATAATATATATATATATATATATATATATATATATACATATATATATATATATATATGTATAAGTGTTAGAGTAGTTTAGAGAAACGCGAATAGAAAGGTGAATAACACGCGAAATTTTGTTAGTATTTCATATAATTAGTAAATTATAAATAAAAGATTTTCATTCATGACGACGAAAGTTTTTCAGCTATTTAAAATAAAATTAATAATTTTATTGTTGAATGTATTGGATAGGCCTTATACACGATATGCGAATAATTTAGATGAAAATTATGATAATTCTGAAAGAAAATGAGAGAAAAAAGGTCAAAATAGAAGAAGCTACTTTCAGTATATCGATATAAGCTGCCGCGTCTCAGCTGATTAGAATTCAAAATGGCGCATGTTGAAACCCTTGTAAAACTCATGCGCAAACAAGTCCGTTTAATACGGATGTTGATATTGTTACAAAAACTATTCAACCGACCACGTCATTCAACGCGCGTGCAATCGTTTGTTATGCTATTAAGTAGTCACGTTCGAAACTAATCCCTTTGCGAAATACAAATGACCGTGTTTTTAAAAATTCGTTTGAATCGCAATCAATCACGTCTCATCAATTCACCGTCTCTACTTCTCAACTACAATCCCATCATACCGGAAGCTTCGAGTCTTGCATCTTCTGCTCATCTCTCTCATTCACTGGGAGAATGAGATTAGAATGTTCGGAGGAGAATCTTATGCGAGACAAGGTCTTTCAATCTGTTTCCGGTCTGTTATCGACCGCGTATAACTATACTCAATACCTCTGCCATTTGTCAGGGCAACGACGCTAGCATACCAATTTGATTATGTAAGTCATTTGCAATGTCATTCGTCAGCATAAGAGGTGTCGTGCAAATTCTTGTTATCCATTTTTAAACTGTCAAAACTAACCGATCACCGTCATTCGTTGGCATAAGATTTTCAGCGCCAATCTCTGTCTGTGCTTATCAAAGCCATCGACGACAAAATAATTCAAAAGTCAAAATTCGAACTTCCGATCCCACGTATATAATTTTATTCCCTCGTCAGATGATAAATTTTGGTTTAGTGACATGCATTTAGTGACAATTATTTATCCCGTAAAGGACTCGTTTAATTGTGAAATTAAAAATAAACGTCTATCCTAAACAATGACTTATTAAATATATTGATTAATTAAATAAAAAACATATTTATTGTCGAAAATTACATTAAGAAAACTAGAGCCGAGAAGAAATTAAAATGACAATAATGTCATTTATTATTTTATATATTCTAAGTTATTTATGAATAGTTTGAGTACAACAAATATGGATAAAATCAAATATGACGAATGTTATTATAAAATTATTACATTAAGAAATCCTATAGAATACAAACATAAAATGAATATATAGTTAAGTATAAAAATAAAATGTAATATAAATATTATTTTTACAATACTATAAATTTCTATAATCATTGAGGCACAATTAAATACAGCATTAAGATAAAAAATCAAAATTACAAAATAAATAAACAACTATAATTCAAATTTAGTTTTATATAAGATATTAGCTATGATCGACAGTATATCTTTCTCTTATTATTAACAAAGCTTATAAAGTTATCACGAATATATAAACTGAAGAAAATTCCATAGTTACGTTGGAAAATTTAATAAATTTAAGTTAGATAAATAAATGGAGTGTTTATTCGTATAAACACACAAAATTTTTTATCTATGAAATGGATTACTTTTTATAGATTATATATACATACATATATATATATATATATGGGGTTATATATATATATATATATATATATATATATATATGGAATATGATGAGAATCGTGCTCAACTTCTTTTTTTAAACCTTTAAAACTTTTTTTTATAACAATCCAATAGCGGAGTAAGTATAATTCTATTATAATTATTATATCATTTAATGTACAGTAGAATATTATAATCTTTATAACTATTCTATAGAAATTCTTATATTATTATTTATTTTATTTTTATTATTGTTCTATTCTGTTATAAGTCTTTTTTTTTTTTTTTTTTTTTTTTTTTTTTTTTAAATTTTTTTTTTTTTTTTTTTTTTTTTTTTGTTATTAACTTATTATACCACAATTTTGATGAATAATTATCAATAGAAAAAATCGAAAAAAACATCATTAATTGCATAACATTAAAGCAATACTAATTCAAGGAATTATATTCTATATTCTATAATAACTAGGCAGACATAATAAAGAATCTCGAAGAAGCTTAATTGTTTATTCACGAAAGTATGAGGCAGAGTATTGTTACTGTTAATACTGGTTTTTTATCAGTTGAATTTTATTTCTGTGTCACCGCACTGTTGAATATTGAAGCAAAATGACAGCTATTAAATCCTTATGCGGATGTGCCAAATAAGTTTATCAGTTTTTCAGTCTCTTAATATCGTGTTATTTTACATTTGAAAAATGTAAATATCTGAAATATTATTACCTAAAAATTTGTTTAGTTTAGCAATCGTAGATTGCAATCAATCTGCGAGTAGACTTGACAAGGCAAACTGAATAACATTGCTTGTAACCACGTAGAAATCATTAGTAGAAATCATCATCTCCCAAGGACTTGAACATAGTTTTGCCAGTCATAATAGAACAGATATATATCTGGTCGACATCAGGATCCTCAACAACGACGAGTATGTTCAGCAAATAGCAAAAGTATTTTGAAGAATGGTTATTACACTCGTGATGTACATTGATCATTATGACCATTTGTATTAATGTCGTGATCCGGGAGTACGGGAGTACGGATACTGACGTCTTCGAAAATCTTGCTTACAAATAACTATAGAATAAAATTACCAACACCGATTAAAAATATTGTCTAGAATTCAGTTAACGTTCCGAATTCTCATAATAAAATATCCGTGAGTATTGTTAAAAATGCTGAATATTCATTCAGGCCAGTGTAGTGTATAGTCGCATAACCTTCTACACTCTAAAAAATTTATTGTCAAAAATCAGTATCAATGTCATCTGATGATCGAACTTTGGATGAAAAGTGCCAAATTATTCTATCAATCTTTACTTTAAATGGATGATGTGAGAAAATATTACAAAGTACGAATATTCAGCGTACAATGCATAATACAGATGATGACGATCGGATAACCGATCTTTTATGCTATTCAATATCCAAAATATAAAATAGTTTCGACAGGAGCTGGTTTTTGAAAATGTAAGATATTTTAAATATGCATGATACATATCTCTTCCCTATAACAAAACTAATGATTAAAAAAAGTCCTTATTGTCTATACTACAATGCTTTACGGTGCTTTCCTGATAAGCGCAATAAAAAATATAAAACTCGCAAGTGCTATAATTTTTCTTATTTTCAACATCCAATTACAATGCTATTCATTTAATATTGATTCGGGGTAAGTAATTCTGAAAAAATTATTTCCGCAATCGTCGTCTTGAAGGATCCTTCCTTAATAACTCTGAATAGGCCATACTTTAAGAAGAATCATTTTTTTTTTTTAGGACTAACGTTTCTGATTCCATTTAGATAACAATCAACAAGGGATTCGAGTGACGTAATTATTATGGGAACAAGTCTCGAGGCAGAATGGCAATTTCTTCACTATTGCAGCAAAATTCTTTGTTAAGGTCTTTTAATGTCTGAATGTTATTAGCGTTGAATACTTTCTACTTCTTGAATGAGATTAATTGATTAAATTTACATTCTCACAATATGTAAAGCCGGATGAAGGTATCGTTTAATTGTTTTTT